GAACTCCCAACACACACACACACACAGAAACACACACACACACGCGCACACGCACGCGCACACGCACGCGCACTCACATAAACGAAGAGCTTTGCCGCAAAGTTCTGAGCAGCATTCGTAAGCGAGAGCTCCAGAGACAGAGAGTTGCCAAAAAATCCTGCCTTCCAGCAGTCGCTTCATCATTGGGCGAGTTCTGCAGCCCGGACCGTTAGAGCAAGTTGTTAAGTTTGATCCGTTGTTGAAGGCAACTTGGGCCGAGCGTGGCTGGTGCCGCACGGAGCGCATGGCCCATGCCCTGGCAGTGCTCCGGCAGAGTCATTGATTCAATTCGGGATATGGTGCAGCTGTGCGGGACAGGTATCGGAGGCGTGAGACTTGGGTTTCACATTTTGCGTTGGCACTTGAGGATGCACCTGTCCCGAGAAATTCAAGCAGGAATTCAGAAGAGACGATCGCTCCATAGTTGCTGTCGACACTCTGCAGCCTGTGCAACGCACATTCTTAGAGAACGTGAGCAGCAGAAGTCGTTGCGTGCGTCGTGCAAGTCGCAAATTCCTTCGCAGCAGCCTCTTTCTTTCATGTATTTTTAGATCCGAAGGGTGCCGACGAGTAGGATCTGTTGAGTTATAGAAGGTCTGTTCGTCCCAAGCGAGTATCTAATAACGGACTGGCAATTATGGCCAAGATGCCGTGGTACGTCGTCGCAGGTGCGCAAGCATGCTTCCATCCTGGTGGTCGAAAGTGCCATGCACCAGACCTTGGCCGGAGTTGTGAAAAGCAGCTGTTTCGTGAGTCACGTGAAGGGTTGCAGTACATCGCTGGTGTCACAATCCCTGTTTTGCCTTCTGCCCCCCCCCACAGGCAAAACAAAGAAGGTGAATCTTACAATTGACACTGCAAACTCCAAGCCCCTGGATGTCGTAGGATTTAGGGCAGTCACATTGGAAGCTCCAGCAGGGCGTGTAGGACGGCATAAGGCCTCGGGTAGGAGCAGTAACTTCCGCTTCCAAATCCAGAAGGCTCTACTCACCGACTCACCCTTTGACCCTGAAGGTCGGTGAAGCTCATGGAATGCTGAATGCGCCAGGGGAGGGCAAATTCACAGATGAGTCGGACCGAACTAGCCTGGGGCCAGTGATTGTCCCTCGGCCATCAGGTTTAGTCCGATTTCTTTACAGACCCTTGCAAAGCACGATGCACTGTGACTTAAGCACACAGAGAAGTGCAGGTCCAGATGGTTTGGAACAAGCTCGTCTACTTCCTTGAGCAAGGTGACTGGCACAGCTACCGATGCCTGCTGAACGAGCAGCGAGCGCGATACCTCAAGAACCTGGATGTGGATCCCATTGATGGACTGATACCCAAGCCTCCCACGAAGCTTGGACCCAATGTTTTGCTGAGGGTCGAGTTGGCTTTCGCGGAGCTGAAAAGCTGAAAGCATTAAAGATCTGTTGTCGCCGCGTGCATCGGAGATGCAGCTATACTTACTCTGCTTACGCTATCGCATGCATCCTCGACTCTGTTATATGGTCTTGGATGGATCTTCAGCAGCCCGTTCCAACTCGAGGATGCCTCCATAGGTCGAAAACTCAAGAGCTGAAAGGTGTTCGTGATTAGTCTAGGCTCGTGCCGTCACCGCAACTCTGGAGCCTTGCTATGCCTTTGCGGTTGTAGGGCGAGGTACTGAAACAAGCTTGCACGAGGGGTTCGAATCCAAGGAATATCGATCCTTTTTCATCGCCGCAGGCCTTCGCACTGGCAAGGTGGCCGTGCTGGAACGATGTAGATACCCTCACATGCTTCAAGAAAGTTCAGGATGCTTGACCAGCAAAAGCCAGTTGCCCAGACCCAAGCACATCCGCATTTTGTATTTGTAGGAACAGATACTTTGCCGGCATTGTTTGGCAGGCACAGCCAGAAAACAATCACACACACACACACATTCACACACTCACACACATGGTCACGTTGCTGCCAAGAGTTCGGGGGCGTCCCCACAGGTTTCTGCACCAGAACGGGTTTCAAAACCCACTGGAGAGGGACGCGAGGGGATGGTCGCCTTTGTGCTTTGCCGCGATGAACGGCGATGCCGTGCTTGTGGAGGCCCCTCGCATGTAGGACCTTGAGTACTGTGATTCAAAAGCTTGCGTGTTTGGGAGCTACAAACAATGCGAGCTTCGTTCATGTACGTGGCAGGCCTTACTGGACAGCAAGGCTGACGTGAACGATGCCATCACAAAAGCAAAGAAGGAAATGAGCCTTGCCTGCTGACATGGTGTATAGGACTTTTCTTGACAATGGGTGAGCAAGTTGTCTTAGTTTTCCCGTTTGGCATATGGGCTAAGAACACGTGTCCCGATTTCGGGTTTAGGGCTTAGGGCGTGTAGGGTTAGGAGACACATACTCCGACGCAGGCTCGGGTCACATGCCCTTTATCGAAGAACCCTGAAGTGGCCTCTGACGAGTATTTTGGGAGCACCCACGGGCCGCAAATAGCACAATCAGTGGACAACTTTGGCGGCTGTCCTGCACTCCCAATCCAAGCCTTTCACAAGTTCAAGCCGCCATCCATAGAGAACTTGCGTGCGGGCCCGCACATGATCACATGGTAAGGAGCCTTCCAAAAAAGATGTCGGTGTTGTCCCTTGCGACATTCTTCCACAGCAGCGAAGTAATGCAGCTGCTGTTGGCGCGGAGGGCCAAGTTGATGCTGGGCCGTGTGAATGCATGGGCTTGGGGTTGAGTGAGATACTTGCTTCCGGGGCTTTGCGGGCGAGAGCATCCCCTGAAGCCGATGACCGTTTAGATGCATCCATGCAGCGACGTTAGTGGAACTATTGCTAGCCACACCGGTCCTAGTCCTAGACATCCTGTCCTCCGCCTGTTAATTAATCGCAGAAGCTCTAGTGCCTCGGGATGTCCGCAAGTCGAGGAGTGCCACCGATGCTCATCAGGGAACGGCGCTGCACTGGGCAAGCTGTTCCGACAACGCGTCTTGGCTTGCAAACTGGATTCTCACTGTGGCTCGTGGTCGCACTGCACCTCCCCTACATTTTCTGCCTTACAGCGCTGCAACCAAAGCTACCTTTTCGAAACTCGTTTGTCGAAGCACCGAAAACCCGACCTGCAGCACATACGACACTCGCCAGTCTTGCACTTGTTTTGAGGTTCCGGGCCTAGGCTTCGCAGTTCAAGTATGTTCAAGGTGCAGAGGTTATCAGGGCTCTGGGCTCCAGAACACGCCAGCCTGGAAGCACTCCCTGCACGCTCGAAACGCATTCCGGCTTCATGTTGATATACGGACTGGTTGGTTCACATCTGCATTTTGGCGGTCGCAAGACTCTTGTTCTGCATAATGAGTCTCGGAGGCCCTTTGGCTATGGCTTCGACCTCCCAAACCACCCTTCAAGCCTTACGGCTCAGCACCCTTCAACTCAAAGCAACGGTGAAGCTTGAACCTCTGAAGACTCTGAAGTCTCTGGGCCAGGCAGAGGGGGTTCGAATTCTCTGTGCTGCCGGGGCTGATCCAAGCAAGCAGCACCTGGCCTCTGCAAAGCTTGAGCTGAGGGGAATAATTTTGTGCACGGTTTTGAGTTTTATGATGCTTCCAAACTTTGTAGCGCTCCGGAGAGTAAAGGGAATCTTTGGTGGTGCTCAAGCACCGCACCCGCTGCATCAGTATAGCGATGATGGGGTATGCATTAGCCTGTGTGCTCAGCTACTTGCTGTTGAGCTTTGTTCGCCAATCGCCTCTCTCGGTTGGGCCTTCTAGCATGTAGCCACATACCCGGCCAAGGATCGGGGTGAGACGAGTCCCAAGCATAGGGTGCCCGTGTGAGACACCTAACACGATTCTTCATCTGCATACACACCCAAATCTGGAGAGCACTACCTGGTTCCTTTTGGGGGCCCTTCGAGATTCGACGCTAACTCCCAAGGTGCTTACCGGGCCTCAATCCATTCAATTTGGCCTCTCGTCAGCAGCCCTGGAGCATCTCAGGGTTTGGGAAGATAGTAGATACCAAACATTCAATACTCTAGTAATGGCATACCATATGCCTTCCATTGCGACATATTACATGGCATAGTTCGAGTCCTGGTTTGCTTGCTTCCCGCCGCTTG